GGATCACTTGAGGCCAGTAGTTCGAGACCAGCCTTGGCAACATAGTGAGACTTACTACAAAATGAAAAAATTAGCTGCTTGTGGTGGCTTGAGGCTATAGTCCTAACTACTTGGGAGGCTGAGGCAGGAGCAGGAGGAGTGATTGAGCCCGGGAGTTTGAGGTTGCAATGAGCTATGATGGTGCCACTGCAAAATGTCCCCCACACCCCAAAAAGAAAAAACTGAGTAAAGAACATGAATCAGAGCTGAAATAGAAACAAGAAAATCCTTCCTGAGAGCAGTTTTGGGAAGGTTTGGGGATTATTTCCAGACTTTATATCTGGAAATATATACACATAATCATCTACTCAAGTTATATAGCAAAAAAGTTTTATTTGCATACGGCTCCAAATATAAATGAACAGGTTTTTGTCTCCTGACTGTGTGCAAGGCTCTAGGCTTCCAGAAAGGACCAGTTGATTTTTCTCCCCGCCCCCCCCGTCCCCATAAATATAGTGTGAATAACCATCTTATCAAATTTAAAATCTTTGCTTTTTGGAGGCCCACAAACCCTGACAAGATTCAGTTTGCAGAGCAGGTTATTTCCCAGCTATGGTTTTCCTGGTGGTTCAGTTTCAGATGTGTATAATCTGGCTGCCAAGGTAGGATTAGTTTTTTTTGGCATAGTGGCAGTCTACACTGAGCTTTAGTGAACTGATTAAAGAATTTTGAATCCTGTTCATTTAGGTAAATTAACTGAAGGAAAAGGAAAAGATTTTCACAAAAGGCAGCCAGACACATCTAAAACATAGGAGCCACACAAAAAGTCCTAGGCAAGAAACTTGATTTTTTTCCCCCTTCTCAGCAGTATCCATCAGGAATAAGTATAATAGCACTTGTATGTTCACAATGACATTTATTCTGAACAAGCACTGAAAATCAAGTTTCTATTTATTGAGCCTCTGCTTTGTGGCAAGCTTGTGCTATGTGTGTTTCATAAAGGATCCAGTCAAATCTTAGAAGGATCCCCCAAGGTAATAATTTCTCTTGAGGAAACAGGTTAAGGTTAATTTGCCAAGGTTGTAGAGCAAGTAAGTTTCAAGACTGGGATTCAGTTGCAACTCTTTCCTTAAATACAGGGTGCTGTTTATTCTGTTTACATGTGAGGCAACCAGAGCTCAGGAACACTGACTTTTCCAAAGTCACACAGAGAATGGACATGTTTTTTTTGAGACAGTCTCTCTCTGTTGCCTGGGCTAGAGTGCCGTGGCGTCGGCCCAGCTCACAGGAACCTCCAACTCCTGGGCTGAAGGGATTCTCCTGCCTCAGCCTCCCGAGTAGCTGGGACTACAGGCACGTGCCACCATGCCCGGCCCATTTTTTCTATTTTTAGTAGAGACGGGGGTCTCGCTCTTGCTCAGGCTGGTCCTCGAACTCCTGACCTCAAGCAATCCTCCCACCTCGACCTCCCAGAGAGTGCTAGGATTAGAGGCGTGAGCCAGCACACCCGGCCAAGAGTGGACATGTTGATGATGCTACTTCACCCGGTTCACCGGACTACTTACTGCCGGTCTAGAGATATCCTCCCCTTCCCTGCCATGATATCTCACTGCCTCCCCGAGTCCATTCCCCTGTGCTCTTAAACTTGAGACAGCATTTACTCCCTTCCTATACTTCATTTTCCTTGACTGAGGCAACTTCACACTAAATTCCTCTTAATCTGACAGCAAAACCTGAACTGGATCTAAGATGAAGCATGTTCCAGTGTTCAGATTTTGCAAAATGTCTGTATTTCGGGTTATATCTAATGTTGCTCCATCCAAGCCTGTTGAGTATTGTAGCTCACGGAGTACTACAAATGCTTTGTTTTACAGGCTTTATCAAGTTGTCTGTAGCCCAGCCTTTCAGGTCAGTTAAGAGTCCCCTCAGGAAACAAGGGCCCAGGGATAGGGTTATATCAAATAATTTCTAAGAGGAGTGCTTTCTCCTCTCTGAAAGAGGGCTCTTTGAAGCTAGGTTGTGACAAAGAGGTAGTCAAGCCCCTGACTCGATTAAACGCCTCAGGTGAGTTCTGGTTTGACCACAGGCATCTAGTCCAAGCACAATCTGAAAGGGCACACCTTTGTTTATTCCAGCATGTGCAATGCCCGAAGGGAGAGGGTCCCTGGTTTTCATCAGATTCTTAGAGGGGGTCATGACCCTCCAAATCATTAGGAACCTCAAATTCTAGTCTAATTTCCTCATGAAACTGATGGGGAAGCTGAGATGCAACATAAAAGTTCGCAGGGACTTGCCCATGATCCGCACAGCAAGGCAGGTGCAGAGCCAAACCTGAACTCAGTTCTCCCGACTCCCAGCAGAGCTAACAGTGGTTATACGTCATCAGACAGGCTGAGTCCGGGCTATACTCCAGGACCTGGGCTGGTGCTGCTGAGGCAAAGATAAGTCACCTCATGTAAAACCAGGCATCAACTCTGACAGTACTTCCCAACCACTTCTATGTCTTTTTTATGCTATAACCCACATATTTCAAGGATACTCCAAGATAAACAGATGAGGCTGCTCGTGGCCAAAGGAGACCGGCTTGCCTGGCCACTCTGAAGGCCGCATAGGCTCACCATTTTGGCATACCTACACACCATGCTCCACAGACAGGGAAGCTTTGAGCTGTGGCACCTCGGTTGAGCCTGGCAAGTGCTCCCCTAGCCTTCCTCGTCTAAGTGCAGCTTGCTCAGCGCAGCTCCTCTAAGCACCTCCCTGCACATACGGTCTTCACACCTTTAGCCTCCCACAACTGGAACCTCAGTGCCTGAGCACACAATTGTTCTTACACATTTCAATATCCATTTCTTCCCTCTCCCAGGTGTTTGTCAGCCAGAATCATTCCCTCTTCCTCAAAATTTTAACCCCTAGGCCAGGCGCGGTGGCTCACGCCTGTAATCCTAGCTCTCTGGGAGGCCGAGGCGGGTGGATCGTCAGTTCGAGACCAGCCTGAGCAAGAGCGAGACCCCCGTCTCTACTAAAATTAGAAAGAAATGATCTGGACAACTAAAAATATATATATAGAAAAAATTAGCCGGGCATGGTGGCACATGCCTGTAGTCCCAGCTACTTGGGAGGCTGAGGCAGGAGGATCGCTTGAGCCCAGGAGTCTGAGGTTGCTGTGAGCTAGGCTGACGCCACGGCACTCTAGCCCGGGCAACAGAGTGAGACTCTGTCTCAAACAACAAAAAAAATTTTAACCCTTGATTCTATGTTTCCGAGATCTAAAATCCAAATTTCTCCTCCACTCCACCTCACTACTCACCAGTGCTTATCCTTGGCAGCACCTAAAACATCTCCAACTTTGAATCCTCCCTCTTTTCAGTTCTGACACCTCCATCCTTTTCTCAGATCCTTCTTTTAACTGATCATCTCTTACTCGTGGCTGTCTTCCAAGGCCACCACTTCCCCTCCAGCCCTTCACTGTTCATGCATTCTTTTGATTCTCCTTTGAGTAAAAATCTTTTTTGAGGCCGGGCGCGGTGGCTCACGCCTGTAATCCTAGAACTCTGGGAGGCCGAGGCGGGTGGATTGATTGAGCTCAGGAGTTTGAAACCAGCCTGAGCAAGAGCGAGACCCCGTCTCTACTAAAAATAGAAAGAAATTAATTGGACAACTAAAAATATATAGGAAAAATTAGCCGGGCATGGTGGCGCATGCCTGTAGTCCCAGCTACTCGGGAGGCTGAGGCAGGAGGATTGCTTGAGCCCAGGAGTCTGAGGTTGCTGTGAGCTAGGCTGACGCCATGGCACTCACTCTAGCCCAGGCAAAAGAGTGAGACTCTGTCTCAAAAAAAAAAAAAAAAAAACTTTTTTGAAATATCTCATGCAATGCAGCTATGTTACTCTTTAGCCCTCCATTTTTCTATTACCTAACTAATCTTACAGTTTTTCCCACACTCATCAAAGATTTTAGCACCTGGCTTATGGTGTTGCTTCCTTTCCTACCTTTAAATTCCAACATCTAATTTTTGAGGCTTCTCATTTTTACTTCCACTCTATTCCATGGCTCCATCCTGGACTATATCATCACCTAGTGCTATTTCACTACGAACTCCAGTTTGCCACTTTGACCACAGCACTCTCACAACCATTGTTTGCATTGCACTGGTCTTCAATTATTACAGAAACCTGCAGTTTCATGACTCCTACATCAGCCCCTGGCCAGTCTGCATCCCACGTTTGATGACCTGAGCTGTAGTCTTTTAACACTCTCAGTTTCTTTCTGGCAATAAAATCCCAAGCCCTGGACAAATGCTATAATTCAAATTCTCTGTTTCTGCAGCCAGGTGGCTGAGTTCCAGAAAAAAGTAACCCAGCACACATATATGGCACGCTTGAAACCAGGTCCTCCAATCTCAGAGTCCCCTTCTAAATTTTCTTCACTCTTCTCTGGCCTCTTCTTGTTTAACAACCTCATCCATAAAGTTGATCATCAATCTCTCCCATATCTCTTTCCCCTATACATCTATCTTCATGCATGTTCTTGTTTCCTAATGTTTTAGAATAACAGGTGATCTGCCTCTAGTCTAAATGTCATCCCTTCTGAGTTCCGTATCGCATGCAGAGCACCGCACCTCCTCAGGGACCGTGAATCATCTATACCTGTTCCCTTTCCACTGGTTCCTTCCTCTCAGCCTCTCACATCTTTAAAAACCTCAAGACCAACAAAAACCTTCTCACAGCCAAGCTTCTCCAAAGAGTAGTCTGCATTCACCCCCTTTTCCGTGCCCTGCCAAGGGCGTGGAATATGACCGTGCTCAGTCAGTGCTTAATAAATCCTGATCCTTGAAAGTACTTGGCGAAAAGAAACCAGGCTCCCCGCTTTTCCCCGAGTCCAGCTGCCCCCTCCACTTTCCATTCACCCCTTTCCTACCCTCGACTCCTCCCTTTGCCGCCCCTCTCATGACTGTCGCGAGACTTGGTGCCTTCGTTCCGAGCGGTCCCTAATGAGCGGCGCACTTCTCGCGAGACTGCAGACAGGGCCGGGCCAGACATGGCGGAAGGTAGGGTTTTTGTGGAGCCGCGCGGGAAGGCGCGGAGCTGTGGGGGCGCTGCTGGCTGGGCGAAGCAGCCTTGGGAGGGGACAGCCGGGCGTTGTCGCATGGGGCACAGCGGGTCTCGCGAGCCTTCCTTTCCAGCCTCTGGGCTCCACGGGCCGGGGGCCGGGGCGCTGTTCCTATGGCAACGCCCCTCCAGCGTCTTCGACCCCGAGGGACCACGGCGGGCTGCGGAGCCTGGTTGGGAGGTCCCTTGCCGGGACGGCGTGCAGCCGCGGGGCCCCAGAGGGTGGCGGGGGAGACTCCTTTAATTACCAACGGTGCCGGGACCGTGGGGGAAGTAACCCTGTTCTTAGGAAATCGAAACTGCTGTCCTGGCACGTCCTGCATCCGGAAGGGGTACATCCCTCTCCTGCGGAAGAGCTTGGGACTCTTTTCGGGATGAGGGGTCGGGGAGAGCCAGCGCTGCAACTGGCCCACGCGCCAAATGGGCGCGCAGTGTAGTCACTGGGCTCCCCAACAGCCCAAGCGTTCGGGAGGGCTGGGATTCTTCTCCCTGGTTTACAAATAGGAGGGGAGGAAGGGGTTTGCGTGGTAAGGGGGTTGGCCAAGGTCACACTGCTCGCAAGAGGCATGCTAAAACCAGACCTCTCTGCTCCTTCGCCTTCCAGTCCAGTTTTAAGCCTTTTTTCTGGCACTCTCTTTCTGACATTGCAGGTAAAGGCAATTGCAGGTAAAGGAGGCAATTCAGGATCTGCCTCCTTAACGTAGCGTTATTATTTAATAGAATCCTTCATTGTCAAAGCCTTATTGTACAAGTGGGGGGAAAGAAGGCCCAAAGATGGGGAGTTACATGCCAGGGACCATACAGTGACACTGCTGGACCTAACCATTGTGCTTTTCCATTTTACCCCGTTATTGGAGAAAAATACTCCTTGTTTGGCTTTTGTTTGTTGAGTGATTGCAGTGTGCTTGGTCATGACCTGTCCTGTTGCTTTTGAGCTTAGCTTTGACTGAACCCATCATTTATTGAATCTTAGATGTGAGCAGCACATGACAGTTTGTAGGCTTTTCTCATTTGGATTAGACTTCAGAATAACCTCTCAAAGGAGGCCTGGCCTTTGTTATTTGCCCTTTGTAGATAAAGGAATTAAGGCCAAGGTTATAGAGATAGCTGTGACTGCACCCAGTTTTTGTCTTTGCTTTTTCTACCATACGTGCCCCTGGAGGGGGAAACTTCAGGTGACTATTGTCTGAAAACAGAGGAGGAAGAAAAGGAACTGAAAGAAAGCTAAGGCATCCTCTGAAGCTAGTTTTTGGGTAGACTACGGAATATTGTTTTATGCAGTGGGCAGCCAAGGAAATCAATCTGTTGCTCAGAGCTGTGAGGTGGGGTCGGAAGGTTCAGGAAGGATTCTTGTGAGGTAATGGGTCGTCCACCACTTTTACTGTAGGAAGGGAAGTTGAGGAGTGTTTTGGAAATACACTACCAAGGTTGAAAATGTGGAGGGCGGCTGGTTTTTCATTCAGCAGTTTTACTGAGCACCTGCAGTCAGGAGGATCCAGCCATAAGGCGCTCGTGTAGGCTTAGGTCAGTATGTTGATCGTTATCCTTCAGGTGCCTTGAGATGTGTGTTAGGGTGGTCTTGAGAGACATCTTGCCAGTGGAGTATGCACCTTACACCCAGAAACAAAATATTCTTTTGGGGTTAAATTGGCCAGGGGGGATAGATAGGTAAGAACATTGATGAGGTTCTGACTGTACAGTTTTCTTTTACCTTTTTTGTGTTCCGATTTCCTGGCCTATGTTTGGACTTAAGCTTTTTGGAAACAATGTTCCAAACTTTGAATGGAAGAATTCAGCCAGATATTCTGGGCCCCTTAGCTCATTAAACTGAAAGTGCTTGCTATGCAAAAGAAGGCAAGATCAGCTAGAAAATGTTTTGTGGGGTATTACTTGTTTCACACTGCTCGTGCTTTAATCAGAATTGTCAGAGCTTGCTGCACTTGTTCTGAGATACTTATTTAAATATAAAATAGTGGGGTGAGGTGGTTCACACCTGTAATCCCAGCACTTTGGGAGGCTGAGGTGGGAGGATCTCTTGAGGCCAGGAGTTCTAGACCAGCCTCTATAGGGGAAAAAAAAAAACAAACCAAAAACCCAGGTTTGGTGGGGCACGTCCGTAGTCCCACCTGCTGGGGAGGCTGAGGCAGGAGGATCACTTGAACTCAGGAGTTTGAGGTTGTAGTGAGCTATAATGACACCATTGCACTCTAGCCTGGGTAACAGAGTGAGACCCTGTCTCAAAAAAAGAACCCAAACAAAAACAAATAGCAAAAATATGTCATGTAACAATTGAATTATCTGTAAGCACACTGTATGGGAACCTCCCTGATAATGGTTATTTTTTGATGTGAAAGTGTGGGAAATCACGTCTAGGAATAGTAAATAAAACCTTGGGAGAATGAGTATACAGTAGCTTCTTAGGTGACTCGTTTAGAAAACAGCCTTCTTTCCTTCCGTCAATCCATGACTGCTGGTTTGGCCATATATATTTAGTTAAAGTCTGTCCTAAAATTAGTTTCCATTCTACATCTCTACTAATCTAAGCTTCCTTTGTAACACAAGTGAACTGCTTCAAAAGCCTCCTGCTTTTACTTTTTTCTCTTTAATTTTGTTTTCCCACAGCCTACTTTCACAGTTTCTAGTGTTCCCTTTAAAACAGTTTTAAGTCGGATCATGTCTCTCCCACTCTTCTTAATACATCTTCTCCTCCATACCAACTCTCATGGTTCTCCATGATTTTAAAGTATATTCCAAGCCTTCTTCTAATGACCTTAAAGTCCCAAAAGATTGGGTCTCTGCTTAACTTTTATCTGCTTAAATTTTATCTCCTACTTCTCTCCTCATTCACTAGGCCCCTGCCACACTAACTTCCTTGCCTTTCTTTGTATGTGCCCAACATACTTCTGCCTCTAGAAGGTGGAAGTCCTAGAACAGTGTTTCACTGTTTCTCCTCACGGCTGACCAACTCTTATTCACTCAGGAATCTGTCGAGTTGTCACCTCATTAGAGAACTTCCCTTGTTGGAATATAAACCCCAGGAGAGGAGGGACTTTTTCTGTTTCATTCACTGCTATATCTCTCAACCTAGAATCATGCCTAAGGTTGAAAGAATATGAATTTATTGAGCACCATTTCCCAGCCATAAAGAAAAGTTGCCTGGATACATCCTTAGCCTCTTGCCAAGTAAACTGGGCAGTCCAACTGTTATTAAGCTCTGAATAATGTCAGTCTGCACGGAGCGACCCAACCTACTTTTCATTCAGCCCATTTTATTCTTTGCAATTGAAGTGTAATACTTAAGAGGTCAGACTCTGCAGTTGGACATGGGTTTGAATCCTAGTTTAAGCAGTGATCATAGGCAAGTCAATTAATTGCCCTCAGTCTCAAGTTTCTTCAACTTTAAAAGGGGGATAATCTCTATTTCACAGGTAACTGTGAAGATCAAAAGATGTAGTGCATGAAGAACATTTTTAGCACAATGCCTGACATTTTAACCCTGGCATGCAGTCTTTTAGTTAGTCTCCTCTTAAACTATTCTTCCATGCCCTTCCTCTGTAAAATAAAAGTAAAAGTAGAAAAAAATGTAAATGGTTTATTAAACAGAAAATTTATCATAGACTTTTATTAATTTGGTAGAATTTGGTCAGGAAAATATTTATTTTAATTCTTATTTTTTTAGAGACACAGTCTTGCTCTGTCACCCAGGCTAGAGTGCAGTGGTACCATCGTAGCTCACTGTTACCTTGAACTACTGGGCTCAAGCAATCCTCCTACCTCAGACTCCTGAGTAGCTGGGACTATAGGCATGTGACAGCACACCAGGCTGATTTTTAAATTTTTTGTGTTGTTGGAGTCTCGCTCTTTTGCTCAGGCCGATCTCGAACTCCTGGCCTCAAGTGATCCTCTCTCTTTGGCCTCCCAAAGTGCAGGGATTACAGGCATCAGCCAGTGCACATGGCTAGGAACATACTTTTGACAACAATTCAAATAAGGTGAAGATATTTCATATTCTGGACGTTCGCTGGCCAATACAGTAGCCACTAGCCACATGTGGCTACTTAAATTTAATTAAATAAAAATTTAGGTCCTAGTGAAGCTGGTCCCATTCAAAGTACTCAATTGCCACGTGGCTAGTAGTTCCCTTAAGGGACATCACAGATTAATAGGGTATTTACATCATTGCCAAAAGCATTGTTGGATAGCGTTGTTCCAGAAAATGCTTAATCACTGTAGGCTAATAGAAATAGGGAGAGAAGAAACTTTACTCTTTCTAGTTTTGAAATTTATCTGTGTAGTGTTTCACTCATTCAACAAATGCCCCAGGCCATTGATAATTACATGTAGTCTGGAGCGTTCTCGAGCACTGTTTCTTTATATTCCTTTCTTTTCTCTACTTTTCCCTTCTTTCACTTCTTTCACCAACTGTAGCTGTTAGCTTTCTCCTTGGGGATTTTTTTTTTCACCAAGAAATAGTTAATCCATTCACTAAAGTAAATGTGGATGTGTCAGTGTAGAGCTACTAGGTTGTACTGAGTTGTGCAGAATTCAGTCACTGGCAAGGCGATTTGCTATAGGTGATTTGAGACATTATCATGATCTACAGTCATGCCAAACAAAATGAGAAATTACTGTCCCCAAACTCCCTTGTTGAATCTGAGTAGGCCAAGGACCTATGGTATTGAACTCCACCTAGTAGGGCACTGTAGGGAGGAGGAGGAGAAAACCACTGGGTAGGGCGGAGGGAGAAGTAATTGGTGGTTAATCAAGAACAGCCAGCTTATTCATGGGGAGCTCTGAAGTCTAGGAGATTAAAAAAAAAAAAAAACATGTGAATGAGATACCGTATTGTAAGTGAAAGGTGAAAAATGCTTAGGAAGAGATTTTTTAGGGATGTGGTGGGAATGTGTTTTGGGTGGTCAGGGAAAGTCTTTCCTGTAGG